GTGACCAAATCAGATCGAATGATGGAATGTGATGCGCCCGTATCCACAGTTAGTACTCGCTCATGTCCGTCCACATATCCACCAACAGTAACGTTGCTCGCTTTTCTGCCAATTCGCGAGACGGAGATTATGGGGCATTCAATTTCGGGAGCCAGCGCGCGCCCCTTGCTGCTGGCTCGTTTTAGTTTAACGACTGATTGGAGTTGGTTTCGTTTCCTTCAGCCCTGCGTTTGCGTCCTTCTGAATTGTTGTGACCATTTAAAACATTTGCCAGAACCATGCTTTTTCTCGCCCAGCAGTCGGATAATCTTCTTCAGCATTTCATTTGTCTCGTCCGGTGTTTCCACTTCCACGCGATGTGCTTTGTAGGCTGGTCTACTTAGGAGCGCCGCCGTTTCACGCGTCTGAGCATACGAGACAGTTTCAGCAAATGTTGGCTTTGGATTCGCGTACGTCTCTCGCTTGGTATACACGTCCCGCATTCCGTTGATGAACCTCTGGATTTTTACTCTTTCGAGGTGCTCACCAGATGCATCTCCAATTGCCAAATGAGCCAACCTTTCAACCTCGGAGGCGAATTCCTGTAAAGTCTCGTTGGATTTCTGGCAGCGATTCTCCAGCTCCATCTGGTAAATCTGTCTCCTGTGCTCGCTACCATAACGTCTTTCCACTGCACCCATTAACGCATCGTAACTGTTCCTTTCACAATCAGGAATAGTCTGCAAGATTTCCGCTGCAGGTCCTTTTAATGCAACGAACAGTGCAGCGGATTTATCCTCCATGCTCCAGTGATTTGCTGTAGCTGTCTTCTCAAACTGGAGCTTAAAGACTTGGAAAGGAATCGTGCCGTCAAAGGATGGAGTCTTTACCTTGGGCGCGCTGGTCGAAGAAGGTGGGCGATTCAACTGCATATCTCGGAGGCGACCTTCCAACTCTTCTACCTTAGCCTCGACTTTCTCCTGTCTCTCTTCAAGTTTGTCCTGTATTTGTGTAATTTTATCATCCTGTGCTTCCAGCTGATATGCGTGCCTCCTGTGCCTGTAGCTGAGTTTCCAACCGGGATGACACCTGCGCTGATACCTCGGAAGATATACGTGTTTCCAAGGCTTGCATCTGTGAGGAAACGTCTGACGACAACTGCGACCTCTGTTCCTGCATCATCTGTGACATGGCAGCCAATAACGTGTTCCTGTCCGTACCTGTTGATGAACAAGGAGCATTTTGCTGTTCTTCAACCTTCCCGGATGTCTGCTGCACATCCTTTGGTGAACAAACGGCCTCATCCTTCTGTTCGTCCTTTGCGGATGCATCGTCGGATTTACC